TAACCTGAGCTCCCCCAAGTGGACGAAATAAGTATTACATGCCCTCGTCGGAAATGCGGTTAAATGTATAAAAATCCTGACCAATAATGTGACAATTTACCAAATGCTTAGAACAGTACAACCGTTCAACCATTGAGGTTCGATTGTGGAAAATATTTGATTATAATACGTGCAAATAGATTTCTTTTCTTTAGACATTAAGTTTAGAAAGGCAGTTCCTGGGGAAACCTGAGACGCCCCCTGGGGAACCACGCCCCAGGCAACAAAAGAGCGACACGCGACCTGCTCGCCAGTCTCTTCCCTCTTCTCGCTCTTCCACTCTGCCCTCTGGATGCTTCGGCACGCGCGTGGCGTGCCTCGCCAGGCAACACGCCCAGACTCGGCCAGCGAAACAAACAGGCCTTTGTTCGCCTGAAGCTACACACCTGAAGTGCCGAGACATCGATCTGCCTTCAGTTTGTTTTATTTTCTTTATTTCTTTTGTTTGTTAAAGTTATCAGTCCGTTAAGTTACACTGGACTAATTCAGGAACGACCAAGTTCCATTTTAAGCCTTTTTCGTCAAGCCAACTTCACCGAGGTCAGACCAAGCCACGTGGTCTCGCCAGCTGTAACAAAGGAAACCTGCAAACAGCCGAATTGCCAGACTGAGGAGGCGTTTTCAATCAGACACGGAGAACCCCGGAGAATCCCTAGAAAAAGCCAGGATCGGGCAGCTAGCGTGGGACCCGTGCAACAGGCCAAAAGCAGGCTGTCGACAAGCAGTAAGACTTAACACACGTCCTGTGATCAGATGTCCATTTTAACTCCTAAACTATAGCATTAGTTTACTTTCATTAGTTCTTCTATGCCGTATGAGTCGAATGCTTCCCACAACCGAACCTCCAGGCTCATTGTTCAGCAAATGTTTATGTTCCCTGTATCCAACCATCTTTTTATCACCTTAGTTAGAGAATAAATTCACTGTAATATAATCAAGAGCTGTGTGTGTTGCCTATTTATAGTTCCTGCCAAGAGAATTGACCCTTTAGATATGAGACTGACTGACTTAAGATAATTGAGCGATTATTAACTAACTGATCACTAGTAATAATTGTATAATTATTCAAAACTACCTAGAGGTCCGGAGACTCTAGGATTATAACAACTCCGGTGGTGCCCTTTACGAGGAAATTCTGATTTTATGAATAACAATTCATAATTGGGTATCAATTCTCATAAATTTATTAAAATGCATAACTAATAAATTTAGGTCCACTACACTATTGAAAGAAATTTACATTGGCTTGCTGTTGTATCCTGACTGAGAAGATAGACGACAGACATAGAGGCATGTCAAATTATATAAGTGCCTGTACTCCGTATTTAAAATCCAATGTGTACAAAATCAAAAATTTGAATCAAGAACTCCTAAAATGGGCAATACAAAAATCCGTCAGGCAGTGAAGTCTAATCATAAAGGTGCTTGGGAGTTATTTAATTTAAACAAATAAAAAATAAGACCACAAACCATGCAGGAAAACCAATGCTTTTCTAGCTTTGTGCTCTTAGATGCTTCCTCTGAACATTTTGAGTTGTTTTTTTTTTTTCTTCTTTTGGTTTATCACCATCATTATAATTGTAACTGTTGTCACAGTCCAAACTGCTCTCAGACGCTGTCTAAGAAAAATTTGCCTTGTATGCACTTTCCCTTGTCTTTTTGGTTGGTTACTTCACTATTTTAGTCTGGATATCTTTAGCTGCATTTACATATTTTCTCGTTCCTCTGTCAATTCACATGTCCGGCCATTTTATCAACTATCTATCCAGAGTCTTCCTTATATAATATGACTAATCCAATTGCTTTCACCAGAGAATTATTTAGGCTGATCATTTCAACTGGTACCACACCAACAATCCATTGTCTATTTTACACATGTTGCTAATATTTTATTCACATCAAACCTTGAACTGAACACTGTGACATTGTAAGAGGATGAAAACAAATATTTGCCCATCTAACAGTTGAAAATAAATTGTACAATATTTAACTATAACAAGTGATGGAAGTCCCTCTTCAGAGGACTTCCTCTTGAAAGGTTGTACAAACACTGTTCAATCTGCTTCCTACACTGTAAAGGAAAAGTGTCTGCTGGCAGGTTGTTTTAGAGCTCAATTAGCAGCCACATTTTTACTTATTGGCGGATGGTATCTGATGATTCATTGTACAACACCGAGTCAAGGTACAGCGTAAGATGCAAAGTTTAGAAAATCTCGTTCTATCACATCGTGATAATATCACAAATGCAATTAATCGTTCAACCCTAGATTAAACAAATTAGTTACAACATTAGTGAGCCTTAGAGGTGGCAGATTTTGTTATCTTTGGACAGAGTCAGGCTTCCTGATTCCCCATTTTGCCTTTATGCTAAGCTAAGCTAATCGGCTGCTGGTTCTAGCTTTTTTACCGTACAGATGTGAGTGTTATCAAGTTTAAATTTTTTCATCTAACTCTGGGAAAGATAGCCAATAAGAGTATTTCCCAACACAATAACATACGGTTGTTTAATGAGATGCTAGTTCACTTTAAGCTACTTTCAAAAAACAAACATTAGCCTAGCTTTTTCTTTGTCTTGTGGGATTAAACAATTCATTGTTTTTGGACTGTTGGTTGGACAAAACAACTACTTTTGAATGTGATGCTGTTGGCTTTAGAAAACTTGATTATTTTCTGACATTTTATACACATAACTATAAATCAGTCTGTCACAGTTTAAACTACAATCCCCTGGTCTCTCTGTCGTGTCTCTCACGCAGTGTTCTGTCCTTCAACTCTCAAGCTGTCCACCAGATGCTTTTCCCTCATTTCCCTATCACTGACTGCCCTGCCCATCTACACACCTGTTCCTACTTCTCTCATCAGCCCTGCAGTTACCTGGCCTACTCTGCCCACTCCTCACCTGCAACGCATTCCCTCATCAGCCACTCACCATATTTACTTGTTGATTGTTAGTACATCCTAAATACTTTGTTGGATTTTGCTTTACCTGAACATGCCTGCCTATTGGTACTCATTCGCCATCACAAGACTAGCTCCGTCCTCCACCCCGCCTCTCCATCTGTGCCACGCATTTATGTTGTGTCACTGCACTGAAGCACACATCCTGATTGCTGCCAGGTGAGACAAACTAGGTTCGCACTCACATGCAGGACATGCTTCGGGACACACGTATGTGTTGATATTGATGGCATTTGATTGTTAACAGTCGGGTATCTGTGTGTTTTAATGCTTGTGTTTTGTGCGACAGGCCTGCTGTTATTTCGAGGTGTTAAATGGCATATTTTCCACTTTGTAACTTGATGCCTGCATGGTAGATACATCGAAACTGCTACATTGGAATTTCTGTCTGACACCTACCCAACCTGTCTGTGCCCTTAAATGGAGCATGCCGCATGTTCTCAGAAAGAACTCTATCTGATGTGATTTTTGTGCAGATGTGTTTGCTTGTGTCAGTTGCTAGTCTTTGCTATTATTTTCTTTCTCCCATACTGCTTCAGCTCTCTGTAGTCCAATTGCTCCCTGCAGTTTTCCTCCTGCTAGACCGGGGTCAGTGGATGAGCTTTGCCCTCCTGTGTGGCCCCGGGGTAGGAGGCCTGGATGTCGGGGTTAATGGCGGCGGGGGGGGGGGGGATCACTCTGCAGGACCCGGCAGCTACAGAGACGGAAAGCTGTAATTAGGACTAGAGGAGGCTTAACACTCAGGAGCATTTTTTTCTCCTGCCACTCCCTGGAGAGAAATGCTTCCACATTAAGAGACCGAAGCTCATAATTACGTGTGGTTGAGAGGATTGTAGCCCTCTGATGTGAGGCAATTTAATGCTTCATTTATTTACCTTCACTGCTGTGTATTTCACTCTGTAAGTTATCAGTGAACCTTACATATTGTGCCTTAGAGTACTGGAGGAAGTCAAGCTGATTTAATGATTGTGGGTGTATCTAATGTAATGTTGAAGTTCAGGTTTGTAGTTGTGTCATAATCACAGTGCATTTAAGTGGAGCACTGAACAGCGGTGACATTTTGTAGATTAACAATTAATCAATGATTCATAAAAAATATATTGTCAATTAATCAATAATGGAAATAAGTCCTTTTACCAATTAATTTTCTAAAGTCCAAGAAGATGTCACTAAATTACTTGTTTTGTCAGTCTTAAGATCTCCTGTTTATCAGGTGAGGCAAAGAAAAGCAACATATCTTTACAACAGAGTAATCGGAATAAGGGAATGATTCGCATTTTGTTTTGAAAAATGACAGAAATAATTAATTTATCACCAAAAAGCTATTTCTTAGTAATTGATTGATCTGTAACATTTTATTTTAACCCCTCCTGAGGCAATCTAAATTGGGAAGGTTAAAGTAAAATGTTACATTTTAATCTGCTAATTGTTTCTCCTGTTTGTACTTTTGAGTTTTTACATGTTGAGAAAGGGAAAGACAAATGTCCTAATCAGTTACAATCAAGTGCTGATGTGTGAAGGAAAAAAAAACAACCCTGTACACTGCACGTCAGCCAGAAGTTACATATGCACACACTTTACATTTACTCATTTTTGGCAGAAATACAGAGTCAACATCAAATTAAATTTGGTATTGTGCTTGGGGAAAACTGTGGAATATATTTGCTAATTTACTCTTTAAATGATTCATGTTTTGTGCGATCTTTTGTTGTCCAAGAACACATTTAAACTTAGCTGATGTAGAGCAGTCTTTAGTTCTTGTTGTGACTGAAATGCTGAGGATTTGATGAGGGAAGCTGTAAATTTGATTCCAATTAATAGATGGTCCTAGTCTTTAAAAATGTCTCCTTTTATTGTTATGAGTGGAAAGCCGCCAAGTTCTGCCCTGCAGGAGGCGTTTTCCTGTGGTGTGTCTGTGTGAGCCATGGGTTTCCATGCACACACAGACTCATATACGCATGTGCACTCTCGACCCCACTAATTTGTACCACTCCTCTTCTCAGGGTCCTGTTATATGCTGGAGGACACATGGATATGAAGAAATAGAAGCATCAGTTGAGGTGAGTGTCTCAAACCGTTTTGCTTTGCTAGCCTACATGTTTCTTTTCTCCCCTGAGCAGTTTCATTCTAAGCTTTCTTCTTATACAGGCCCTCCAGCTGACCTCTGGGCTAAGTCCTGTCTGTGGGGCTTTGTTGTTGGTGGGCCAGCTGAACTGGCGTGTGTGTGAGTTAGAGGTAATGAAGTCCAGTATGAGGCAGTGGCGGAGGCTGGTGCTGGTGGGAATGCTGGCCTGGGTTCTTCTCTTCCTTGCCCTCCTCTCTTACTTCCTGGATGCTCGCGTGACTGAGCCCCTGACCTCTGTTGGTTCTTTACTCTCCCAGCACCCAGACACCCGTCGCCTGGCCTCTATACAAGCCCCTAATCAACAGCATGCCAACCTGGGCCTCCGACCTGAACTGGCTTCCCCCTTAACTACAACCTACCCCAGAGTTGAGCTGGAGCCTTCTGCCAGCTCCACCACCCCAGAGCCCAGCCTGGACATGAGCCTCAGCCCCAACAGTGCTCCCTACGCCATTTATGTTAGCCAGGAGGCCAGCCACCAGGACTACCTGGACCAACAGAGCCTGGCTGCCTGGTCCTCCTTTGGTACAGAAAATGTGGGTTCTCACTCAGACCCTGTAGTCCAGAGTCGAGAGAGAACTTCCCAGATCACAGAGGACCAGAACCACGTCAGCACCACACGCTACCACGGTGGGGAAGAGGAAGACGATGATAGGGAAAATGAAGAACTAGGAAACAGAATGAGGACTACAGCAGACAGGAGGGCTGGTGATGACTCCTCTGATCTGGAGCAATATTACTTCTCCAAGTCGTTGTCTGTGGTGCAGCGGCTGTGGCAGGGCCGTGTGTCTGCCAGCATGCTGAGTCCTCGGCTGCAGCGAGCTATGAAGGACTACATGAGTGCCAACAAACACCACGTTTCCTACAAGGGGCATCGCAGGGTCGCCCGCAGTGCTAAGGAGCTGCTTTGTCAAATTAAAGCCCAGGCACAGCTGAGCACAGTGGACGGGTCGGAGAAGCCCTTCTCCTCACTCGGTTGGGCTGGTCTTGTGCCGTCGCTTCCTCTGGAGCAACTGTTTAGGCAGCAGGACCAGAGCAGCTTCAAGAATTGTGCGGTGGTCACCTCGGCTGGTGCCATCCTGCGTTCAGGCCTGGGCAAAGAGATTGGTGAGTAGAGAGAACAAAGATTTTTAGTCGGGGCATCAAGGGGCCACAGGGCTATGTACCAAACCTTAACCTTTTTGGTACCGACCGAAAGTGTCTGGCATCCTTGCTCAAATATGTGCTTCAGCTTAGGTAGCATTTCACATTGTGAGTAAATTAGTAGCATATTCCTCAAAGAAAGATATGGAAAAAGTATTGTTGGAACCAAAATTCTGGCACTTTATTGATGCATTTGTGTCAAACCTTAAAATAATACCCCTAGCCCTACAGTTGGCAAAAGAAAAGATGAGAAGACCACAAACTGCAGCCAACATTTTGTTATGCTGTTGGTGCTCAGACCACTGGCAAATTACAGGTCTGCAATACATTACTTAGCTGAAATATTTATTACAACCAACAAGTGTTGGACAAAACAAACATACTGATGATCCTGGCTTTTAAGGCTAAGATATAAAATAAGTGTTCCTGTCATGAATGTAAATGCCTTTCCATTCATCTGTTTTTACTGTATTTACATTTTCAATTTGCACATAGAAAGGGAGAGAGAGAGATAGAGGGGGGGAGAGAGAGAGAGATTCAAATACATTTTCTTGTGCTGATTCTGAAGTTAGTGGAAAGCTCAGATGGTCTAAAATAGAAAGTGCTCATCCTCCAGTGGGCATGAATGTACTCTAACATGGCATGAGATTTGGAAATTTGTTGTGGAAGTTTTGGATGAAAATGATTGAGGCTTTTGAGGCAAGCAAAAGATCTAGTCAATTTCATGGAAATCTGACAGTTGGTGACATCCTTTTGTCATGGCCAAAACTGTTATCTGTCACTAAATTATAATTCTGTTTCAAAGTGGAATTGCCAGCTGAGAAATGGTTGGAGACAAATGCCTTAATTTGCCCAGTTTCCTGGTTTTGTGTGTTTGCTTTTTTTGTTGTTTGGTCAGTTAACACAAACACTCTTCAGTCTCTTTCAAATTCAAACAGCTAGTGACTAAACTACATATACTGTCTGTCAACATATGTATTCTAACTCAAAGCTTGATCTTTGAGCACAGTGGCCTGCTAAGATTTAATTAACAAATATTTTTAGTCGAAATAATTGCACCTGCAACGATTTGCATTGGCTCCTAATTTTTGCATAGTAGTTTGCTGATGAACTTGTCAAGCTGACTGCAAGCAGGGTTGAGTGTGTGCCTACTAGGCTATATGTCTTTGTGTTTGAATATGTGCTCTTGGTTTAGAGATGTTGGCAGCTCTTTGGTTAATGGGGAGAGTGTGAAGTCACTGACAGATGGCACACCAGAAAAAAGCAGCACCCCCTCTGGTAACCAATCAGGCTCTTTCCCATCACGTATAACTTCCTTGTATTTCCTCGTGAATTCAGCTGCTCAGAGCAAGCAAAAGCTTTAATATGAAGAGCTGCGGCTTTATGCATTATGTTTGTATATGTCTATATACTGACAGCATTCGATAGACACCAGCTGTCCAAAGATAAATGCTTCCACAAAGAGATGCAGACCAAACAACTTGTACAGAAAATCAAATGCTTGCAAAGTGATTGAAACCTACATCTGCACTTTACATTGTGGTTACTGTGGTGTAACTTCTGGTTCCGGTTAAGACAGTGCTGCAATCACCATCTATGCCTCCAATCGCTGCTCTGGTGTAAAACAGGTATGTGGCAAAGTAGAATAATTACAGACAAGTACTCAAGTACCTCTACCAGTGAGTGTGTGTCTCCCCGCTTGTATGGTTTAGCTTATTGACGAATATTAGTGTTATACAGGTTACTGTGTACATACTGAGAATGAAGAGTGAAATTCTTTAAGTAGCAAAGAAAAGAGAGTGAGTCTTCAGTTTTGGGCACCAGGCCTAGGACCTATAGGTGCTGGTCATATAATTAGAATATCATCAAAGTTGATTTATTTCAGTAATTCCATTCAAAAAGTGAAACTTGTATAATGTATACATTCATTACACACAGACTGATATATTTCAAATGTTTTTCATTTAATTGTGATGATTAAAACTGACAACTAATGAAAATCCCAAATTCAGTATCTCCAAAAATTAGAATATTAAGACCAATACAAAAACAGGATTTTTAGAAATGTTGGCCAACTGAAAAGTATGAGCATGTACAGCACTCAATACTTAGTTGGGGCTCCTTTTGCCTGAATTACTGCAGCAATGCGACGTGGCATGGAGTCGATCAGTCTGTGGCACTGCTCAGGTGTTATGAGAGCCCAGGTTGCTCTGATAGTGGCCTTCTGCTCTTCTGCATTGGGTCTGGCGTATCGCATCTTCCTCTTCACAATACCCCATAGATTTTCTATGGGGTTAAGGTCAGGCGAGTTTGCTGGCCATTTAAGAACAGGGATACCATGGTCCTTAAACCAGGTACTGGTAGCTTTGGCACTGTGTGCAGGGCCAAGTCCTGTTGGAAAATGAAATCTGCATCTCCATAAAGTTGGTCAGCAGCAGGAAGCATGAAGAGCTCTAAAACTTCCTGGTAGACGGCTGCGTTGACCTTGGACCTCAGAAAACACAGTGGACCAACACCAGCAGATGACATGGCACCCCAAACTATCACAGACTGTGGAAACTTTACACTGGACTTCAAGCAATGTGGATTCTGTGCCTCTCCTCTCTTCTTCCAGACTCTGGGGCCTTGATTTCCAAAGGAAATGCAAAATTTACTTTCATCAGAGAACATAACTTTGGACCACTCAGCAGCAGTCCAGTCCTTTTTGTCTTTACCCCAGGCGAGACGCTTCTGACGCTGTGGCTTGACACAAGGAATGCGACAGCTGAAACCCATGTCTTGCATACGTCTGTGCGTGGTGGTTCTTGAAGCACTGACTTTCCACTCTTTGTGAATCTCCCCCACATTTTTGAATGGGTTTTGTTTCACAATCCTCTCCAGGGTGCGGTTATCCCTATTGCTTGTACACTTTTTTTCTACCACATCTTTTCCTTCCCTTCGCCTCTCTATTAATGTGCTTGGACACAGAGCTCTGTGAACAGCCAGCCTCTTTAGCAATGACCTTTTGTGTCTTGCCCTCCTTGTGCAAGGTGTCAATGGTCGTCTTTTGGACAGCTGTCAAGTCAGCTGTCTTCCCCATGATTGTGTAGCCTACAGAACTAGACTGAGACCATTTAAAGGCCTTTGCAGGTGTTTTGAGTTATTTAGCTGATTAGAGTGTGGCACCAGGTGTCTTCAATATTAAACCTTTTCACAATATTCTAATTTTCTGAGATACTGATTTTGGAGTTTTCATTAGTTGTCAGTTATAATCATCAAAATTAAAAGGAATGAACACTTGAAATATATCAGTCTGTGTGGAATGAATGTATACAAGTTTCACTTTTTGAATGGAATTACTGAAATCAACTTTTTGATATTCTAATTATATGACCAGCACCTGTAAGCTTCTAAATCTATGTTGATGTATCATCACCCCCCCCCCCCCCCCATGTTTGTTATTGGTTTCCATCCAATAATATGACCCATATGCACATGCCATTTACAAAAGGAAGTGAACGTGTCTTTTCAGCACCATACTTGCATCATTGTTATCAGTGTTTTTAACATGCATACCTTGTAAAAAGTAATTCAAGCCTCAGATATGCCACCAGAAAGTGATTAAGTGAATTATGAAGTTGTCAAATCATTTTAAAAAAACAACATTCATGATCATTTCTTCTTCTGAGGGCAATCTCATACATCTTTGTGTCAAACAGCAGTGAGTTGGTTCAGTGTGCCGTCATCGTTGTGGTAATCAGTTCCTAAAAAAAGACATTTTGCTTGATAGGTGGAACGTAGTGACTTGACGAGCCAAATGTAAATTACTGAACAGCCTCAGTGTTGGAAAAGCTTGACTTTGTTACATTTGTTGTCAGACTGTGCCTCAACAGGAAATCAAACTGCACTCTTGTCCTGCTGTCCCTCCCAAAAGGCAGCACTGCATCAAACCCCAACATTATGCAGCTTTGAATTATGACAAATCACCGAAAGAAATGGGAAAATCAGACTCTTATGTCACTGACAGTTTGACTGACATTTAGATCGTCTGGTTTGATTTAATCAAACATTTTGTAATGTATGGCTGCCATCATGTGGAAAACAGGATAAACTGCATCCCCAGTACAACCTAGGATGGAGAAAATAACAGGAACATATTACAGCATTATTCAACTAAATGCACTGCAACAGATATTTTCTTTGAAGTTTATAGTGTTTGTTAATACTATAAGATTTTGAGTCAACACTCTGGGAATTTATTTGGATCATAGTTTGTGGTACTTTAGTAAATATCCTGTTAGGGATCCCTCAGTCTGTGGTGGTGATACTCGGATATAAATGGTTAAAAGCAGCACACAGACTTCACCAATTTTTTCACTGGGAGTGCTGTGAAAGCAATTTGATGAGAAGATCTGAAGAATGTTCTCATCTAACTGCCAGATAGAAAAATGTACATTAGGCTGCATCTAAAGTCACTATCAACTGATCTGTCTATTTAGTTTTTGACAAATTGGTTCATTGTTCAGTATGCAACATGTCAGAAAATAGTGAATAATACTCAAACACAAGGTGACACCGTGTATTAATTTGTCCAAATTCTTGTCTGGAAAATGGCTTGAATGGTTACTTAAGAATTGACCATCTGCTGATGTTGGAGGACTCTCAGGCATAACGTGGATTAACAGGTTGGTAATGTAATTGAAACAATACCAGTTAATACCCTTTTTCTATTCTTTTTTAAAGATGAAGCCAATGCAAGGTACCCTGCAGAGAGGAAATGTGTAATAACTGGAGCATTAGTGCATTATAGTAGTTGTGAAAAAGTATTAGCATATGACAAAAGTGACCTATTTTACAAACATTTATGATGGACAATGCATGACAAGACTGGCTGCCTCTCCCAGGTTTAATTTATCAGGTATTTACAATTAAAGAAATACAATAATTGCTTTTAGCAATTAATATTAACAACTCTCAGCTTTTAA